AAAGAGAGTCTTAGAAAAGCAAGCAGTGAAAGGCACTGGCTAGAGGCATTACTGTCAGCAACTGCAATGCTTTCAATGCCTTAAGAGACAAACATCAGCTCTAAATTTAAGCCCTAAAGAATAGGAAAAAGGTGGCAAAAATTTAAACAAACCATTTAAGCATTGGGGGTGAAACAACTGCCATGTCAATCCAAGAAAGATTATGTGTGTCTATGTGAAAGCCTAACTCCTGAAAGCAGTCTGTTAGACACAGTGGAACTGGAACTCATTAGCATCTGCTCTAGTACTCTGACCTTCTGAAAATGACTGTCCTTATTACTGGTGTTGTATTGATACTCTGCTTGGCACAGCACCACATGCGGCATAGATGGTCTCTGCCAGAGCAACTGAAACACAGGCTTGGCCAAAAGTTCTCTGGTACTTTATTCCCTCTCCCTTTTATCAATCAGCTGAAAATGTTAGTATTTAATCACAAACAAGCATGTCCTCCTTCCCTTTCCAGCCACAAATCCACTGCAGTTTTTCCATGACTTTGATGAGAATTGGATCAGATCCAAAACTAAATGGTTTGGCAAGGAGCAGAAGACCTTGTAGAAAACAGGGACAGTGGTGAACAGTTGAAACAGCAATCCTTAAAGCAATCTTTCATAGCTAATGACATTTCACAACAGAAGAACTTTTTAGAATTACGTTTCATTAGTACCATACAGTTCAGAGAAGCCTGGGAACAAAGCAGAAGCAGAAGTGCTGTCACCAACTGAAGTCTGCATCCCAGCAGGACTCTGCTCTGGAGGTCAGACATACAGACTGCAGAGAAAACACAGCACTGACAGAGCTCTGGAGTACTTTGTACCTGCACTGCCCTTTATGTTCCCCACCTCTTTTTACTCCTGGCTCATTCATGGACTTGAAAATACTTCATATGGAAGTGATAGGAGTCTGAAGCACCTGTCCCAGCTATATGTGTTAATTGCAGAAGGTCAGTCTAAGTAACTTCCACAGAACATCAGGTTCTACGTAAGGATTTCTTAAACATCTGTCCTAAGTAGGGACAAATCCAAAATACACAAAATAAACATTTACAAACTGCCCATCACCATGGCCCCAGTTATCAGCCCTTACTCTTTGCCTCCACTGCTCATTACTAATAGACATTTGTGTTGCACAAGAGTTCCTGAAAGCCACCAGATCATTTCAAACCACACAATGGGACATTCCAGTGAAGTACCCAGCCCTGACTTGCATGAGGGAGGATGTGGGTAAAGCAGTCTGAAAACATTTCTCAGTGGCCAGCTTTGGGTGTGTGCCTGTGATCATTTCAGCCCTGATTTGGGCAAGCCTTGGGTCTCCACTGAAATCTGAGATTTATCCCATTCAGGCTTAAATCCTTTTTGTACAGCAATTAATGAAGTATGTTACCAAGCTGCAATATGGCACAGGGCCAAAGCCCTAATGAATTCCATACATCTGATTGTTTTTGCCAAACATCTTCAACCTTTTGAAACCACAATTACAATCAAAAACAAGACAATTCCCTGCATAAACAGCCCCCCATCTTGGGCTCCTATTTAACATTTCCTGTGTTTTAACCATTCTGGATATCCCAGTCAGCTCTGGAATTTGTTTTGGCTTGTTTTCTAGGACACTCAAAACCTTATGGTTGCTCAGCATATAGAGACCAACACAGGCAACTGAGTTTTGTCCTCCAGCAGCCGCTTAGTACTGCTTCTTGGTCAAGAACTCTAATAAAATATTAACAACAAAAAAAAGAGAGGCACTCACAGTAGATAAAAAAATCATGATGTACCAAAGACTAGTCTATAAGAATTGGTAGAAATATCACTTCACAGTGTGTGTATCCCACTTCCTAAACTTGAAAAAATAAATGCTTTCCCAGTGGTAGGCAAATATCATAGTACAAAACACTGACAAAAGTTTAAACAACACTTGACATACTCTAATCCTATTGACATACAAATATTTTTTAGGTCATAAATTAAATATCAAATGGCAAATTAGCATCAATACCTCCCAAATATGCATAATGCATTTTAGAGCTGCTTGAGAATTTAATTTTTGACTAGCAGAAATAGCATCAAATTAATTTGGGGTTATTTACGGAATAGCTATATTACTGTGCTTCTAGACTGTAATGAAATAATTTAGCAGAAATCTATATAATATAATCATATAAATATTTACCAATCTGTAAATACACCTTAGAGACCATCAACATGCAGAAGGTGAGAAATAAGATTTTCCTCAAGGAATATCCTTCTTCAGAATTCTTCTGAGGACACATTTTAGAAATTTAAATTATTTTTCCTGAACTAATTACTGAGCTTTGTAAGAATACTAATTATTCTCTAATTAAAGTGACTTTAAATCTAGCATGTAGTATCAGATCTTGAAAATGTCTTTCAATATTGCTTTGTTTCCTTGCATGGGAAATATCTTCTTATAAATGTAAATCAAGTAATTTATATTTTAATACAGCCATCCTGTTGGGTTTTTTTTTCATTTGAGAGTGTCAAAATAAGTAAGACTGCAGTTACAAGCATGGATTCTAAGATCCAGGAATAGCCACACATGGACTTTGTACAATATTCATCACGTTTAGCAGATTCAACCAATTATCAGGATTATCATACAATATGGGGGGATTTCAGTGCATTTGGCAGATGGAGATTTCAGTTATATGTTTTATAAGGCTCAGCTTCTGCACTGCTGGAAATCTGGTGGTGTTTTTGTAGGACACCTCCTGCCAAGCCACAGAGGGGCAGCAGGACTCACACTCCAGTACCAGTTCAGGATATGCCAAGCTCAAAATAAACAACTTTGTTCTCAAAGCCAGTTCCCTTAAAGCAGCACAAAAATGACACCATGAAGCCCATCACTTCTCAATTGTCAAGGTACTGGACCTCATCAGATCTCAGATTAATTCAGTTATTTCTAACCAACAAAGAAACAAAGGGTATTTTCATAGCATTTGGCCTCTGACTTCAAAGAAAATGTAGTATATAATTCTGTGTGTTTAGATTATAATTGTAAAATGACTGCAGAAATCACAGAACACATGGTTGTTTTCATTTGACTTAATCTGCTAAAGCTGATACTGAGGATTTTATCATGAATTTGTTTTGTACAAAGAACAGAGGAAATTAAGGGAATAATTCCTTTAGCCTAAAATGCTGTCACTACCTCATAATTGTAATAATTCTTGAAATTTTAATTTTGAAGGAAATGAATACAGTGAATCAAAAGCCAAATTAAGAACAGCTTTAAATGCTAGGAGGGCTGCATTCACTCTGTGCTCAGGGGGAAGTGAAATGTGTGGTTGGTTGTGTTTGCAAAGCAGTGGTATTTCCACACCAGAGACACCAGGAACTAATAAGCAGCACTAATAAGCACTTTAAGGGCATCTGGAAGCAAATGTAGGAACAATATTGCTTTAGCTTCATCAAAAGAGAACTGAAATGGAATAAACAGCCCAGTCCATACAGTACCACTGTCAGGGACAATACAGGGACTCATTTTGTACAGACCAAGGGCCAGTCCTATGGGTTTATACAATTCCACACACTGCTGGGTTTTGTGCACTAATGTTTCAGGCTTGTTTGGAGATCTCAGACATAACTACAGTGAAAAATGCAAAATCTTAATCTAAAGTCTGTAAATATCAGTAAGGTGAGACTGAAGGTGTTGGTATAAATATCTCGAGACCTGCAAGCAGTGACTTGTCCTGCTCTGACACAGCAGTGTGTAGGAAACAATTGGTAATAAATCCATACTACAGTAAAGTACTTTCCTTCCTGCACAGTGTGTGCTTGACCCCTCCTGCTACTGGCAGGATCTCTGCCCTGTCACTGCATGTCAGTGGGCTCACAGTCAGCCCTGTGAAGAGCAATATGTGGGAATTTTGATGAGGGAAAAAGTAGCTTAAAGAATATGCTGCATGGTGAAATGGCACACCAATCAGATCTAGCTGAAAAATGTCTCATTTGTCTGAAATCATTGTTTCAAAGACTGAGAACACAATGTAATGATAGTAACGACTCCTGGCCTATGAAATGTTATATAAAAAACATTTTACATCTCTGGTAATGGTACATAATGTAAAAAAATGCTGCCATTGACTTTCTTGAAGTAGCTGCTTTCCCTTAAGCAGATCCCACTGAAATAATGGCAAATCCATTACATAGCCAGAAATGGACCCAGACATAGGAAGTTCCTTCTTGAATGAAGGGGTTGCCTGAGGCCAGGCATTTTGGTCCACATTTTATAAACAAGGAAAAGAAGCTAGTGGTGCTAAAGGAATATTGTTTGTTTAAATTATGACTGTCCCTGCCCTGAGGTTATCCTAACTGTGTTTAAATTATTAGAATTAGGTTTTCCTGTTTTCCTGCTTTTTTTCCTGTAGCTGTAGGACAAGGGTAGCAGGGAATGTGTCTGCATGAATAGCATTGCCAGATGTGCTAGTAAACAAGTGGAAAAATACTTATTTTTTGTAACTGTGTTCCCTGAGCTGTTACTTACAGCAGTTGTAGGCAAGATTCACTCAGAAAGGCATTTATGCGTTTCCTCCTGAATGCCTCCCCCACTGCAATGGGCCTAATGCCTAACAGGGGACAGTCCCCGTGAGGCTGCTGAGGGCACCTTTGTGCTTGAGTGCACGCAGAGGCACTGGCTGAGCAGGGAGCAGTGACTGAGCCCTTTGCTGGCCTGGTGCTCCCGTGTCCCTGTGCCCCTGACAGGTCACTAACCTGTCACAGGCCACGGAGCTGCCACTGGGACTCCAGAGCAGCACGACAGACACCAGCAGCAGATAAACCATCCCTCCACTCCCGCTCCAGCAGCTCCAGACGTGGCTCCCGAGCCTCACTGTGCACTGCACAGCCTCACTTGCCGTGTCCCAGCGTGTTCCACACACCAGCCGGGCTGCAGTGCACACCTCCACCCTGCAGTCCATCACCCAGTGCCAGCACAGGCGTGGACAGTACCTTTCTTTTCCCCTGTAAAGGGCACGAAGTCCTCTCTGTCCTTGTGCTCCAGCGCTTGCTTCTCCAGGTAGGAGAGCAGGCGCTCTCTGTCGAAGGGGCCCGTGGCAGCTTTAGTGGTCTGGTCCTTCTGCCGAAATCCCGCTGGAAGCAGGGCATTCTGTGAGAGACAGGGGCATGGAAAGGACAGGAGACAGCTTCACACAGTGTAACAAATCTCATCTCAGGGGCGTGGGGTTTTAAGTGAAATCATTCTTTGCCTAATGCTCTCTGGTGACAGCAGTAGCACACATTACCTAAATGTAACCACGAAGCCCAGAATATCATTCAGTCTTCTTGATTTATTACCCATCAATATTTGTATTAACTATATTTGCAAACACAGCACCAAAGAATTAAGTAAGATCAGAGTCCTTTGGTGCACATATTATAACCAGAGTTTGCAGTCCAGGTATATAGAACAGGGTATGTTTTCTGTGCATTTCCTTCTATTCCTTTACTTTCTCCCTCACTAAAAAAAACTTCCTTTCATTCTAAAGCAGATGTCTCTCAGACCAGAAATGAATGGCATGCACTAAAGAGACTGGTGAATGAGGTAGACTTCAGCTATTCAGAGTATGAGGAAGCCAGCAGATAATTCCCACTTTCAACACGTAGCTGTGGGATCCTGTGATTTCATCTGCATCCTGTAACATAGGAATATGCATAAGGCCCCCACATTTCATTACAGGAAATCCCAGAAAGAAATACAGGTGGGTGGACCTTGCAGTGCACATGCAGTAAAGCCAACATGCTGAAGGTGCCCCAGAGTACTTCAGAAACATTTCCTGACTGGCCAGAACATGCACAGTAAATCTGATCCATGGCAAATATCCTGGAAATTCTGAGCACATCCAGTGAACTCAAGTCACCAGTTATTTTACAGTGCATGCACAAATGTCCCACTGCACGTATGTAGCATTAACTACAAATGCACCATGGCCTGATTTATTTGGTTGGTTGGTGTTGCTTTTTTAATGGTTTTCTGTGTCTCCATTTGAGATGCCAGATACTTGAAAATACCAGAAAATGTAGAAGTGGCAATAGTGTGGGAAGTGGCAACATGGAGGGAGAGAACAGTAAAGTCCCCATTAATTTCCAGGCAAACTAGTGCTGTAGGACCAGAAGATATAAATCTATTGTGTTTCTCCAAATTCATTTTGCCTCCAGATAGAACATTTTATCTGCCATTTTACCTGCCAGTTTTCAAACTCCTACATCAGTTTGAATATTTTTGGGTAGGTTCAGTCACAATTCCTTGCATGCTTGTGACTATAACCTCATTATTGTAGGATCAAATGGTTTCAGACGAGAGATCTTTAAATTCTTTGTGAGAATGTCTTCAAATATCCCAATTATTCTTGGTCTCTGGAAAATGACAGTTGTGTAGCTGAATCCTACTTTTCTTAATCATGCCCAAATACGTTCTCTTCAGCTAAAAATATATGTGCTGAATGACATGGTCAACAGATTTCAGAAGTTCAAAAGACCTGATTCCATAAACACAAGGTTATGTTTGTTTATTGCTGTGCTCTGAAATAGCAGCCATAAAAAGCTTCTCATTGTGTTGCAGTGTGCCAACATGATTAAAGATTTAGATTGCAGACAAGCTCATGTCTAAATAGACATGGGATAGACCAAGAGCACAATGGCTTCTAGAAAAGTAGCACATCACAGCAGGAATAGAACCAAAATGTCTGTAGCTGAGCTGCTCATACTTTAGGGTACACTGTCCCCACTGTAACAGAATACAAATAAAAAATGCTGCCGTGTGTGGCATTTCTAACAGGGCAGCATTGCAATTATCACCACTAACCTCAGGATCAAGGTCATCAAGAACATGCTCTAGCTGCTTCAGTTCATCCTCTGAGAGCTTGCTGAGTATTTCATCCTCGTTGATGTTCTTGTACTTCTCCAGCTCCTTTCGGAAGGGCAGAGACATGGCTGCTGCTGCACTGCTCTGCTGCTGCTGCTGCTCAGGATTTCAACCATCCAGGGCCACTGAGCTCCTGCTAACAATAAAGCATTGTGAGGATCTCCATCTAGCTGAGAGTCCTGGAAAGCCCACGTGCTGAGGGTCACATTGACACTTATTAATGAAAACAGAGCAGCAAGATGTCCTGGCACAGCACAGGGGGTGTGGGACATCCTGGGCAGGAGCCAAGGAATAGCAAGGATGGGTTCAGTGTGCTTGGGGGCAGCAGCAAACAGCAGCTTTGAGACACAGGTAAGGAAAACATTAGCAACTTTGCCTTTTTCATAGAAATATAGCTGGTTTATTTCATCTGCTTGGAAACAGTATTTGTTTGCTCTTTTGGCCAGAAGCAAAGGAAACTGGTAGAGTCACAGACAACGGTCCAACACTGACAAACAAAACAAAAATGTAATGCCTTGAGGTATTCTATCTTATCCCAGCTTTTCTGGTGCCTGAAAGCTAACCCACATCATCTTGGCTGCCTTTTTGGCACATTCTGGTTACCTAAGCATCTTTCAGGTACACTGGTAGTTAGTCTTATTTCAGCATGTTTGGATACAAATGACAGCACTTATCATCAAAATTATTGGAGAGAGGAGATACTAGCTATAGCTCAAAATATCTGGAATTCAGTCTGCTACATGGGGGACCTGCAGAAATTCAAAACAGTCATGAAAAATATATGGACTTAGTATTTCACAAACTCTTTTAGTTTTAAAATTTGAACATGATTCCTTGTTAGATGATCCCAACTGACCGGGAACAAGATCTCATTTGCATGACCACAACAGTCATTGTCATATTATCTGTCATATGACAATATGACAAAGGACTCTCTGTCTTTACTTGCTCTTTTTTTTTCTTGTCCAGAACAAATTCTAGAACCAGAACCAGCCTGTAAAGGGATAAAGTGGAAGAATGAATTTCTGATCAGAATCAGCATTAACTGGGGACTTTCAGTGTGCTCCAGGCCCTCCCAAGTGTGCCCAGTTTCCCACAGCAGCACCAGCACTCTCCAAGTGACACAGTTAGCTGAGCAGTTTTACAGTTGAGTTTTTGCATTCACAAATTTCAAAGTTATGGTTGATATGGAAACCATCCAACTGGCACCTACCACTGACTTATGTATCAACCCCAAGCCTAATTTCCTTTGGCCAGGTTTTCAGTTGTCATAAGCTGATAAAATCCATGTGGGATCTGTTGCTTGCCATACGAGCTAGAAGCTTAATTTTTGTTTTTCTTTTATTCCAAATCCAAATGAAAATATTTCATGTACTTAGAAGTTTCATTATTTAAATATTAAATATTAAAACATATCTCATTTTTCTATTTATCAAAAGCACTAGAAATCAGCAACCTACTGAAATGGAAGGGAATGATCAGTGGATTTACAAATTTGAAATATCTGGAATTCTATGACTACTGCAAGGCACATTAAGCCTTGACCTGAAACACTTAATTATCCAATTCCAAGAAAAATTATTAATTTGCCTACACACTTTCTTCTTTTCCTTATTTCTGCTCTGTTTGTGGCTGCTGTTCTCCTAGCACATCATCATCATCAAGCCATTCCAAATGTCAGGATAGAATTCAACTATTCTTTAAATTGAGAGTTAGTTTTAGGGAGGTAGTCAGCATGTGATGTTTCACAAAGTTACAACAGCTGTGAAATTTTCTTATAATACCAAAATTTCATCTTATGTGATGAATGTGGGGGATATTTTGGACAAAAACAGTACAAAAGAGCTGATGTTTTTGTGTACTTTGTGATTAAGAAGAGCACGAGTTTGATTTGTGTTTAATCCATGCAATTTTTTATCAAAATTACTTGTTAGATAATGAAAGCATTTTATTTAAAATTGATAAGTATATTTGTTTAAACTGTAAAACCAAATTGAGCTGCAGTACAACATTCAGTATTAAGGCATCAGGTGCCTTCTCTAAGTTCCTTTGGATAAACTTAAACTCATTACAAACATAACATTTCAGCTAGCAGTCATTAACTGAGCTAAAAAATTTCTTTGAGGGGATTACAGCTTTTAAAAGCTATTTAAGTTTAAATGCTTATTTTATTAGAGTTTAATCACATCCCTGGAAAAGACAGAAATGTAATCCCAAGGTTAGGGCAATTAAATATTGTAGGAAAAGCAACTTGTAAGAGTCCAAGACAGTTTCCCTGGCTGAGGGTCAGCAGTGCAGTTGTGCAGGACTCCTGGTAGCATGACCTCTCCCTTGGATGTACAGCACTGCAGGATTACAGTGAGGAATTGTGGCTCTGGGATCAGCAAGGCCATGGATCTGAGAGTCCTGTGAGCTCTGCAAAGCTGAACCAGGTGCTTGGTATGATGGGGTGCACCAGACACCCCCAAATTCCCTGTGAATTGCCCAAATGCTCAGCCATAAAGAGAAGATGTGCCACGAGACGCCTTTGAACAGGTGACAGCTCTCAATGTTGCAACTTTTAATTACTAAGAAGAGAAGGTGTTTGCCCATGTCCAGCAGGGATACCCCAAAGGGAAATTTAAACCCAGATATTACAGGTGTATCAGCCTAATTTCTCTCATGGCATGAAGTACTGTGTTGAATAACCCTTATTAGATTGATAGTGCATGAAGAGCCTGAAATTGTGCTTTTCTTGCCTGTACATATTTGCAACAGAAATTCCCTTATTATTTTCCCTTTCACAACAGAATCCTACTCCTTTGTGACTGAACAAAAGCAGAAGACACTGCTTAGGGAAATTCTTTGTCCACAATCCCTGAAAGCACTAAAGCTTTTCTGGAGCTTTCACTCTGCCACACAGGCTGCTGCAGGCTGGGCTGAAACACTCATTGCTCATGTCCTGGGTTTATGCTCTCTACTGATCTTTCACCAGAGTCACACTATCAGAAATCAAGGGAACAAGATAAATCCAACAATTCAGCATCAGTCAGACTGGAAAGGAAATGCTGAACTCTTGATTCACTCTGGAAACTGCTGTCTAATGTGATAACGATCTCCACCTTCCTAATTGGATTTGATACTGTTAATTTTGTGTATGTAAACAGAGATATAAGCTGTCTGTGCAGCTCCTTACTGTGGCCTGAGTGTGCACAACTATTTTACTTCTTGCATACTACATCCATTGGATTTGCTTTGTTATGATTACTGTGTGAAAACTTTCATTAGTTAAAAAAGCAGTTCTAACCCAGAGCTCCCTGCTGCTGTTATTTTGAGCATATAAAAGCAGATCATGTGTCACACAGCAGAAGGGAGATGTCCAGTCTAACCACAGAGGCAAGACACTCTTGAATGTTACACTGTATTAGAGACACTGAGGGAAGCAGGATGAGGGACCATGGATAACACTGTGCAGTTCCCCTTCAAATTCACTTGGAAGAGTGAAAGAGATTAAGGAATAGGGGAGCACATATCTCATTTGTTTTTCTCCACTGAGTTTCAGTACAGAGCATCTTAGTTTCTCATGGGCCTAAGCCCCACTGTTAAAAAGCAAAGCCCAACAGGTGAGATCTGTGCTCGTTCTGGATGGGGCAGAACTGTAAGAGGCATTTCTGCTACCCATGTGCTACTTTCAAACCTTTGTGGAGCACAGAGGTTTCACAGTGAGCTTCAAAGAACCCCTTGCTACAGTTGTATTTCTGATTCCTTCTAAAGAAAGAAATGCGTACAATTTAATTTGGGGCAGCTTTTCACCTATTCCTGTCAACATCAGGATTCAAAACATGTTTTCAAAGAGATAAAGGGTTTCATTAGTCAGCCTACATAAAATCCTTATTGCTCAGCATGGTTAACACCTGCTGTGATATAACCTCTCTGTACCTTGCCATGCTCCATAAGTACTTTTTTGTTATGCTTACACACTTCTGAAAGAGCTTTCTAGAGGAGCCAAGCTGTGGTTTCTGCTGATACCATAACACTGTTGTAATCTTCTACTGCTGATACAGATGTTTCTTTCTGAGAGTGAATGACTCCTCTGCTGAATTAGTGCTGAATGTCACAGGGGTCCCACTTGCATTTGCTTGGATCCCCTAGGAAGCATTGGAACAACCTGAACTGTAGAATTTCCTATGGACCAGCACTACAAATGCACTTCAGGTCCCTCCTGCTGTCTAAAACACAGACTACACACTTAGAGAAACATCTGTCTCTGGGGTCCTGCAGAGAGGAGAATGCTGTGACACAGAGGAGGCAATTTTCCAGGTTTGATAGTGTGTATAAGCTAAGAATGAAGCTGCATGACAATGTGCATTATGAAGTATAGAGACATGTGATGAATGGGAAATAATCTACTCATAGAGTTCTTGGTATTTTTATTGGGAAAAAAAGTATGCTTTTATAATAAGGTTTGAGAAATTGTTCTTATTTTTGCAAATCATGGCAACTGATCTTTAGAAAGGAAATCCTGATGCATGACCTATTTTAAACTATCTCTGTATCCATAGCGGTGGATATTTGTGTTTTGAAAAACAGTTGTGAAACTGATCTGTAAATGTAGAAAAAATCTTCCCTTTCTTTAAATAGACTTATGAAGCTAAACATGAAAATAAAAACCAGGTGGAATTAATCCCAAGTTAAATTGATACTGGACTAAATAAATAGGATTGGGGCCATTATGATTAAGAGCCGTATTTGTGCAACACAAGCAGATGCTCAGTAGAAGGAGGATGATTGTTCCATGCTGTCCAGGCAAGGGAGTGTCCCCACCAACACACTGAATCCAGTGCCAGACAGAGAACATCTCTGTTGTCTGGGAATGGCTATGAAAGATAAAGCTGAGCTTCTAAAAGCTCAAACTTAAAAAAATAATATATATATATAAATACTCCATTGTTTGACATATAAATAAGGTTACTTTTTAATTTTCATACTTAAAAGGCAATACAAATGTACCAATGTACTTTCTAACCATGAATATATGGGGGATGTATACTGGGAGATCCTGTTTTGCAATAGGAGGTTCATAAATCTCATAAAAGTTAGAAGGAATGCATTAGGGCCGGCACAGAACACAAGTGTGGGAGGAACACAGCATTACAGAACTGGGGCTTGTGTGTGCACAATGAGAACAGTATTAGCTACAGGTCCTGATGTAGATACAGCAGACATGTCAAAGAAATTCACATAGGTAGAAAATGGAAGAGAGAACTGTAGAAAAGTATTTCCTCTTCTAGAATCCCCCAACTTTTCTGCCTGTTTCCAAAAAAAAAAAACTTCAGAAGAACTTCAGAACATAAAAGGTACTGAACTGCTCC